GCTCCTGGGTTTGTAGGGACACTGTCTGCTCTGTGGTACAGAGTCCTGATCACTCCTAACTTGTGTTCCAGTGGGTGGTGGGAGTCAAAACACTGCTTTTTCTTAACTTTTCAATAAAAACCCACTATAAGAAATTTGCGTTTTTTTAAACATGGCTTTGAGATAAACAATTTAGATGGTATCTTTGAAACATTTATTTGTTTATTTATTGAACAAATATCCGTTGATGTTGTCTACCTGCTGAGATTTACTTTGAAAAGAGGCATACAGTATTTAGGTCKCTTACYACAGTGGTTCCCAACCTTTTTAGACTTGTGTACCTCCTGAGCCATTATATCATACCACTAGGACCCCTTCAGTCAAACATAATGATGATTAACCAAAACTATAATGCACTACAACAGATTATTAAATGAAAATTATTAATTTACCCCTAGAACTTTTAATTCTCAGGCATTAGTTTTCCAACTCAAATCAAACAAAGATAAAAATGGTGCCTTGAAATTGAATAAGTAATTAAATAAAGACATCAGGTAATGACAGGTGCAGAAAACGGTAGCGTCCAAAAMATGTCAGAAACTCGCCCAAATGAGCAAATTCTGTGAGATTCCACGTTTTATACTGGATTTCATTTTGTGTTAATTCCGTGATTCTGACAGCAATGTCCACATTGCAGTAATCATAGGGCTATACATACCTCAGTCCTATTTTTATTTTTATTTTTTGCACACCTGGGAAATTTTTCCACATACCCCCTGTAATATGCTCACATACCCCAAGGGGTGCGCGTACCCCTGGTTGGGAATCATTGACATACAATGTCACAACTAACATGTGTGTTTGTTTATTGACAGAAACAGCTGGAGTGACTGAAACTACATCAACATTGGTGACATCCACGTAGAAGCAGTTTGGGATGAAGACGTCAAGGCCATTATGATGTGAAGGTACAAATTCTCCGATTTGTTGAGTAAATATGCAAATAAAAGTGGTTTGTTTACGTTGAGTGCAGACCCACATTTCACAAAAACAGTATGTACTGGAGCAAACATTCATTTGATATATATTTTATCATGTTTTACTTCATAGTTTCAAGTACATTTTAAATTAATTAATTAATTT